GATCAAGATTGAAAGAGTAGACACAAAAGATAATATAGCAGATCCATTCACAAAGGCAATTGCTCGTTCACAATTTGAGAAACTTGTTGAGCTATTGGGTATTAGATACTATAATTGGCCTTAGTGCAAGTGGGAGTTTGTTAGATATAGGTGCCCTGCAGGCAATTATTGTATATTGTAACAGGACCTATATGTATATAACATCCTTGTTCAAAATGATAGTATGCTATTTTGGTCAGATTTATCTGATGTTCTAAATATACAGATAATGTCCTTAGAATAAATACTAGACTATCAGACATTTCGGATAGTGATCGTAATGAAGAGATCTGATTAGTCGGTAACGTATATTCTAAAATGTTCCTAGTTGATGAAGTGTTGAGATAGGACATCATCACTTTGGTTTAGACTAGTGTATGCTTTATTTCTCCTTTTGAAGGAGATGATCAATCTCTTAGATCATTGATGTGAGACATCAAGATACAGTATACAGGTGACTCATTAGTGAATGAGTTGACTGAACGACTCGCCGAGAACATCTAGTTGGTAATATACTTAACTGTCAAATAGAAGTTCTCAAGTGATATAGTACATAGTAGTCTCTTGACCTGAGGCATGAGTGCAATATCTTATATGTCAGTAAAGATGTATTTAGACTTTTACCTAACCACAGTTCTTATTGAATTGTGCATAACGGTTCTTGTTGGGTACATCCCGAGACATAAGTAGATATTGAGATGCCAAGAAGGGATTCGTCTCTCCCAGTATAGGGGTTGATGTCATAAGATTGTTTGATATAACTATAGCCTGGAAATCCTTGGCCAAGGTGAATAAGATAAACTGAGTGTCAGTTTGATCTTATAGGTTATGAGTTTAATATCAATAAACACTAATCAAGCTATTAGGGTTTGACAGTTTGCCATACCCTAGGCTCAATAGTTTGACATGGTTTGACGAAGAGACCGGACTGTACGGTATTATCATTGAGTGGTCCTGATAAAATTGGATAAGCATCTTGCAGACCTTTATCACAACTTATACCCGGGTGGTCTTCATGTGTAGCTAGCACCTCTGTTGTACTTATGGATATGATCCACTACCGAGTTTTTTAAGTTGGGCCCTAGAGTCACACCAAGCGCGTACTTGAATCCTATGAAACACAATTTATGGAGTGATGCGTATGATTGATACGCATATATGATTTCTTCCGGATACACATAAACGGTTATGTATATCGGTAAAATCGGAATGCTATGTGCTTAGGAAATGAATTCCAGTATTTTTCCCATAAAGTTAACTTTTAGTCAACTAGTTGACTTTTTGGTCAACAGTTGACTTTTGGTCAACTCTTGATTTATTTGGTCATATAGTGACTAATTAGTTAAAGATTGGAATAATACTATATACCGTATTTATGAAATACTGTATTAGTGATAATAATTTGGTATTCTCATTTATGAAATACACATACCATGTATAATGAGTCATGAGATGAGTCACTTAGTGGTATGGTTTGAGCACATGGTTTATTAGCACATGGTTTTGAAATGTAATGATTCATAAGATGATTCATTGCATGACTCACTTGATTAATCATTAATTTTTGATGATTCATTGCATGACTCATAGGATGAGTCATTCATATCATGAACACATTTCACTCTATAAATATGAGCTCTTTTTCTTATGGAAAGGTTAATGAAAAATTGGCTAAGTGTTTTTTTTCCATAAGAGAATAAAAGAGAGCTCTCCTCTTACTAAACTTTAGCAATCTTTGAGCAAGAGGAAGTAGTAGGATTTTAAGAACCCCGGGCTGGATTTCTTGCCTTGTGTCTTGAGAAGACTCCCATTTTATCAAGCTAACTTGAAGACTTGGAGATCCACTAAGAGGAGATTTTCTACTACAAGGAGCAAGAGCTAGGGGTTATTCGATCTTCCATCGAATCACGCTACGAAAGTATGGCTTTCTAACTCTTGTATGCTCACTTAATAATAAGGATCATGTTAGATTTAATTAGACGATCCATATGAATATTTCATGCTCTCTACATGCTTAGTATTTTTGTACATACATGTCTTCCGCTGTGTATTATGCATGTAGACATAGCACGATTTTCTTCAAGAACTCCTCATGATAATTTTTTTCCCTTTTACTTTGCTCATATAAGATAGCATGCACCTTATTACTTAATAGGTAATAGCTAAAAAATGTATCTAAAACTCTTTTCCTAGTTTCAAGTGTTAAAAGTGGGGAAATAGATGAGATTAGAGAAATTGTAGCCTCAATTATCAAATTTTTTTCTCTGTTTCTTCTTTCAAGCATCATCAAATAAATAAGATGAAAAAATTGTCCTTGTCATTTCAATTTAAAGATTCATGATTCAATTCTACTCTACTGATCAGCTATGCCTTTGAAATAAATTAAAATATGCACTGCTATTTCCCTATAAAAGTGAGGTCCTGGATGTTCTTTAGAGTAATGTACTCCAAGTATCCTGAAAGGCCGAGATAGTTTTTTTCCTATTAACTTCAGATGTCTAGTCATTTTGTTTTCTTATAAATTGTTTTCCTACGAGCAAAACTAGAACTTGAAACTCTCTAAGAAATTTAAGACAACTAATGTTAGATCAAACAGATCAACAAACTAGAACTTGAAACTCTCTAAGAAATTTAAGACAACTAATGTTAGATCAAACAGATCAACACCACCAAGATATCTCAACACACAGTATTAAGAAATTTAAGACAACTAATGTTAGATCAAACAGATCAACACCACCAAGATATCTCAACACACAGTATTCAAGATACTCTCTAATACATGAAGCAATATACCGTTCATAGCAAAATCCTTCCACGATCAACATTGCACATTATATCCGAGTGTATGGATATCCATTCGATAGAAAGTGCACAAGGCCAATAAACACCAAAATATCTATAACCACATTAAGAAGCAAACAAGTCACTGATTTTCAGTAGCATTCACCCAGAAAATTGAAATTTTGGCAGTCAATTACCTGAATCCTATTCTGATGAGTGAAATCCGAGACAGCCCAATGCACCAACAACCAATGAAGCTCCCTCTGCCTCTCCCGTACAATCCTCATTATCAAATCCAACCTCGCCTGCCGTCCTCTCACCCTCAACAAATCCCTCCTCATACTCTCCTGTTGCTGCCCTTCATCATCTCTTCTTCCTTCATTTCCGCCATTTCGAACATCTCTCTGTTGCTGGCTCGCCATTTGCACCCATTCCCTCACCAACCTCACCCGCTCTCTCTCCCTCTCACCGAGCCACTCTACCCTAGGGCTGCTGCTCTCGCACCTATTCGAGCCCTCGGTCATCCCTCTCACGATTCTCCTAACCCTCTCCCTCTCCCCCTCCCCGATCTACGGCGAGTTCTCCTAACAAATCAAACAAAAAAAGAAAAAAAAAGAGAAATTGATCAAAATATCGTCACAAAATTCAATTTCAAAAAGTGAATAAGATTGAGAGGAAAGAGAATTACAATGAGAAGTGAGATTTTGACGGGAGGGGTTGAGCCTCAGACTCCTGACTTCAACTTGGGGTTAAAAACAACCAATTCTAAACCAAATAAAACCAAACAACTCTAATCCATAAAACAAATCACATAAAAAGATGATTTGATATACATTTCATCAATACCATGTCCCGCGATCAGAAGAGGACCTAAGAGGATGAGGATTTGGGGAGTCTCGAATTTGAGAGTATGCAAGGAAACAGTGAGGAGGAGCAGCATCAGAGTTGTTCGAATTGTGATTGGTTAGGGTTTTGTTCGGCTGTAGAAAGGGAGGGAAGAGTTCGCCTTCTTGAGCCTCATCCGGAACCAACACATAGCCTTCTTTGGCGACTCGATGGCCCGCAACCAGCTCAAATCCCTCCTCTACCTCATCTCGACCGCCTCGAGCCCCGAGCTCGTGTATCAAGACGGCGACGAGAATAAATTTTGCCGGCGGGCGAGAGAGAGCCTCGAGCCCCGAGCTCGTGTATCAAGACGGCGACGAGAATAAATTTTGCCGGCGGGCGAGAGAGAGGGCAGGCAGGAGATGTGGTTGTCAAGGTCGGCGTGGAGATGTGCGGGAAGTTTGAGCGGAGGAGGATGAGATCAAACGTAGAGACGACTGAATGAAGAATTGGGGTTTTCAGAGAGCGGTGAAATGAAAATTTAGGGGGCAAATTGTGGCGCTCGGTCTCAAAACCAAAATATCAGACACATTCCGTGTAGGTGGTAGTCTAGTTGGCAACCTAGACGGAATTTTCCGTCGAGATAATCTTGACGGAACAATCTAGACGGAAATAATTCCGTCTAGGTTGCCTCAAACCAGACGGAACTATATTCCGTCTAGATTATTCCGTCTAGTTTGCTTGATTTTCATATAAAAGCTCTACTCTTTAGAAGAAATATAATACTCCAAATATTCTTAAGAGAATGTGGTTATTAAGATGTACTAGGCCATGTTTATGAAAGTATGCACATTTCATGTCAAATTATTCATAGATAAACAATCTTACAACCAAGTTATAATAATTACTAACTCAAAAGAAACGATCAAGACATTTGAACACATGCAATGTCCAACAGCATCCCACTAGTACGTCCAAAGTAGCTTAAAAACTCCATCTTTAAATTTTTTGGGCGCTACTCTGCGGCAAACTCTTTTGGGCCGACAGTTTAGAAGGCCTGATGGCCTGAACCTCATACTTGCTTGTTCAAACAGCGGAGAACTCATTTAGGGTTTCTTCTTATTATTTCCGCG